ACATTGCAACCGCTTATTATGTGACCTCATTAAATGAGCATTTGACAGTGTGGATGGAAATAAAAGCGTCTTACTACTGAGTTTCGTGTACACGTATCAAGACACCGTAAACAGCAAAATAGTCATCCCTCGTGCATTACTCAAGGCCAGAATGCATTTAAATAATACGTTATACATGACAATGCTACTGGCTGATGCATATTTCGTAAAGATAGTGGACTATTATACACAACCGATAATATCTGAAATAATACTTTTCATAATCAGAATGTTCGCGAAATTAAATGCACTTAAGCAAGGTGTCACCGCGTGCCTTTTGATAAACAAATTTCGCGTGAGATCAAGGCTTTTTCAATATTGAATGTATTCGCACTTCCTGCCGGAGCTGTCATTGTCACAACTACGTCATATGTGTGCGCGGTGACGCTAAATTCTACGCATGAAAGGCATTTCAATTAATAAATGCGTACAATTTACTAATAAAGCGTTAACTGGTCCAATTTTTTAAGTGCGTTTAATTGCATCATCGAAGTGTTTCATATGAAATCTACAATTGATTGCTTTTCAATTTTAAAGAGTTTCCCAGCGATTTGCAATGTAATCCTAAGTCTAAGTTAAAAAATAAGTAAGCTCTTAGACACTCTCTGTTAGTGATTGCGCATTATATTACTTATAAGTGGCATTATTTTATATGTTCTCGACGGTTCATGTCATACCTGCAAGCAAACGTGTGTGTGCAATTTCAGATTGATCACAACTTACCTCGGCCAAAATATTCCGAATCGCTGCGGATATTTCTTGTGTTTATTCTGGAATATTCTCTAAACAAAAATTAAGAAAACGTTTAGTTACAGTAACATTATAATGTTATGTGCACAGCATAGCACAGTGCCTTGGTTAACACTTCTCATGACTGTCATAGTCCGCTTAACAGTGAAATTGCTTGTGTTTATCCTTCCATTTTACTACGCATAATTAAACCTATGTTTGTTAACAGCGGAAGTTATTGTACTTCACCTGTCATAGCGTCGTGGATCAGCGAATGAAAAATAGTAGGATAGCAGTACTGTGTGTAATATAAAATATGTGCGCTTCTTGCAGGATAAAATATATTCGGTGATATGGTGGCGTTGACGATCAAGAAGTTCTACAAAACCCTAACGGTCCATTTGTAGACGTCAATTTACCGATAGGCAGTTCCGTTTAATATGTTAGTAAGTAGTAGTATTCTCATTTACTTTAAAAGCCTAAAATCATCGTCCCTGGACTGGACAATTCATTTCACAAAATGCCAAATGCCGGTCAAAAACAATGGCAAAAATGTCAATATATTTGGGTGCACAGGGATAGCCAATCCGATTAAAAAGTGTTTAATAATTCAAGTAAAAATGTATTTCCTATTAATTGCAAATCTGTCTTCACAGCCCGATACATTTAGTAAGAATATCGAAGTTTACAATCCGGGTGAATGGTACCAGAATCATAAACAATGGCTTGCTTAAATAAACCTTCTTATGCTAGCACAGTGACATGAAACGCTATGACGGCGAAAAAAAAATGTCCGAGCCTTTTACGACTGTTATATGTGTGCTTGATTTCTTTAAATGTTCTTATGCCTTTAAAATTGTGGATGTTATATTTATTAGCAATCAAAACGGTTGCTGCCTTTAGCTGTACAATTATGTTTGCTGATTGGTTTTCCTTCTGATTTACTAAAGCAGTTAATTGTTTTGTGTATATACATTTGACATTCTTTTATACAATTTTATGTTGGATGTCATAATTAAATATAAATTGGTGTCAATTAGTTTAGCATGCTACCGCCAAAGTAAAAAAACACCTCAGCAACATATAACATACATTAAATATGTAATAATCTGAAAAATCTGTATTTCCTAGGTATATGAAATGATTACTTACACATCGGTCACGCTTCCTTGTGTAAAATGAGTGTCTCCGTCCTTATGACTGGCAAAAATTTAAACATTGAGGTCAGCATATACTTGAAGAATTAAAATTATTAATTAAAAGTCGCTTTTTTAATTAAACTGGCTCATTTTGAATTTAATACCTGCGCAGACAATGTAAAATAACGATGCAATGCGCTGGGAAATGACCGTTGTCAAACCGTGCACGTCTGCGAAATGTCCCTGAGTTACACAAATATAAATAGACAAACAAGTACGCCCTTGACGTTGTCGAGAAAAACAAATGTATTCTAATACTCAAAAATAAGGGCATATTTGACACATTCGGTGATCGATTAGAGAAGGGTTACCTGAGCATTTTGTTTCAATGTATTTTAGTTTTTAGTAGTGGTCGTAAGCGCGATGCAAGTAGCGGCTGTAGATGATGCCCAGACGGAAAGTGTTGAGGTCACGTTTGGAGAAAATCAGTGCTCGTCCCGAACATTAGAGTCAAAATTAATGTCCCTTACCTTGTAATTGAATAAACTGTCGTTCCAGAAGGGTATTTTGCTCA